AAAAATGTTCAACCTCACTGGTCATTCGAGAGATGCAGATGAAAACAACACTGAGATTCCACCTCACCCCAGAAAGAATGGCTGCTATCAAGAAAACAACAAATAACAATTGCTGGTGGGGTTGTGGGGAAAAAGGAAACTTTCTTCATTGCTGGTGGGAGTGCAGACTGGTGCAACCACTGTGGAAGTCAGTGTGGAGATACCTCCAAGGACTAGGACTAGAGGTCCCATTTGACCCAGTTATTCCCCTGCTGGGTATCTTCCCAAAAGAATTAAAAGAATCATACCACAGTCATATATGTGCACCCATGTTCATAGCGGCACAGTTTGTAGTAGCTAAAGCTTGGAAGCAGCCCAAGTGCCCTTCAACTGGAAACTGGATAAACAAAATGTGGTTTTTTTATAAAATGGAGTACTACTCAGCCATAAAGAACAAAAAACTAGAGTCATTTATAGCTAAATGGATGCATATAGAGGCCATACTCTTAAGTGAAATAAATAAGACACACATGTGTAAATACTGAATAGTTTCACTGGTGTAAGAAACTGATAGTGTAAACAAGGGTTAAAATGATTTACATAAATAATTGATAGTTTGAAATAGGAAAAAAGTCCAAAGAGGAAGGAGTGAAGGGAGGGGAAGGGGAAAGGAAAAGAGGGAAAGGAAAAACTATGAGAAAAAAATGGAAGTGAAATCTATGTAAATAGGGACGGGCGGAGGGGGTGAAGGGTGCACAGGTAATGAGGAAAAAAAAAGAACCAAGATATAGCATATACAGATACAAACACCCAATGATAAATGTAAACAAATTGTATACCTAAAATGTACCAATAAAAGAACTAAAAAAAAAAAAGTATATGAAAATGGCTAAAAAGAAAAAACAATAAGATCTTATCCAAGCCCATTCAGACTAAAAACAAGAACAAAATTCAATAAACAAAAATCTCTACAAACTAGAAATAAATGAAGATTTCGTTATTTGGCTGAGGAAAATCTACAAAAAGCCTATACCTGACATCATACTAAATAATGAGAACCTAATCAGTGGCGGTGAACCTATGGCGTGAGTGCTGCAGGGGAGTTTTTGTGTCATTGAACGCTCTAAGAAGTCACCATTACTGAAGATGCTTTCCCCTTGTGATCTAGAAAGGTAAGATATTCATCTCATTATTATTATTAAACATCACATTAAAGTACTACCTAAAACACTAGAATAATAAAATGATATAAAACATGTATAAATTTGGGAATAAGAAATAAAACTGTCCCTGTTCACAGGTGATAGGTTAGTCTTTGAAGAAAATTCAAAACATCATCAACAAAAGCTTCTAGAACTAGGAAGCAATTATAGCAAAATTGCACTATACACAATTGATATGTAAAAGTCAATTGGTTTCTTATATGCTAGCAGTAAACAATTGGAATTTGCAATAAAAACAAAACATGTACATTAATACAAAAAGTGAAATGCTTAGTTATAAATCTGAAAATATATGTAGAAGATCCATATGCAGTAGTACAAAAATATATCTAAAGATGTGAGGAAGTACAAAACTGGTAAAAGAAGCAGAAGATCTAAGAGAATGTAGAACTATTTCATGTTGACAGATAGAGGGTGATATTTTAAAGATGCTAATTCTTCCTTGCTTGATTTCTAGATTTAATGAAATCCCAATTTAAACCTCAGGAAGTTACTTTTTGTATATCAACAAACTGATTTTAAAATTTATATAAAAGTCAAAAGATCCAGAATAGTCAATTATAATAATGAAAAGAACAAGATTTGTATACAGATACTACTTGTCTTTGAGAAATACTATAAAACTATAGAAACCAACTATAGACAGGTCAATGGGACAAAATAAAGAGCCAGAAATAGAGCCATAAGAATACATTCAGCTGATATCTGACTGATGAGGAAAGGCGGTTCAATGGATAAAGATTAATCTTTTCAATAAATGATGCTGGAAAAATTGACATCCATATAAAAAATGAAATCACACCTTCACAAAACTTAAATCAAAAATGCATCATAGACTGAAATGAAAATTGCAAAACTACTAAACTTCCAGAAGATCACATAGGAAAAAATTCTAGGTAAACTAAATTTGGCAACGTGCTTTTACATGCAAAACCAAAAATGATACATTAAAAGCCCCGATAAGGCAGATGTTTAAAAAAATTAAAAACCTTTGCTCTAAGAAAATATAATTTTGTGGTATTGAGAATTGGACCCAGGACTTTTGCACTGAGCTCCATGCCCAGGCCTTTGAAAAATGCACTTGTAAAAACAGGAAAAAAAATCACAGCCTGGGAGAAAATATTTGCAAATTACAATCTCATAAGGAACTTGTATGCAAAATGTATAGATCCTTTAAAAGTCAACAATAAGAAAACAAGTAACCCTATTAAAAATGGATCAAAGATTTAAACAGATACTCTATAGAAGTTATAGAGACAATTCACAGTTTGTCACTTTTTACCAAGAAAAACAATCCTTTTATACAATCTAGTAGTCACACTGCTAATAATTTATCAAATTGAATTGGAAACTTACATTCATACAAAAACCTAAAGATGAATATATATAAAGATTAATTCATGCTTGTAAAAAAACCCAGACATAACATGTACCTCATTAGATCAATGGTAAATGAACTGGTTACATCCATACAGTGAAATATTTTACAATGATAAAGATAAATTACTTATCATGTTCCCAAGAGATACAGAACAACCTTAAATGCATAACATGAAATGAAAGAATCCTGTCTGAAAAAGCTAAATACTATTTGATTCTAACTATATGACATTTGGGAAAAAGTATTGAAGGAGAAAATACAAAATAAATGAGTTATTGCCAAGAGTTCAGGGGTATTAGAGGAGGGATGAATAGACAAACTATGGGGAATTTTACAGACATAAAAATATTCTCTATGATACTATAATGAGAGATAAATTATGTCTATTTGTAAAAATCTATCAAACTATACAACACAGAGTAAATATTAATATAAATGATTATCTTTAGAAAAATGATAATGTATCAATATTGCTTCACTGACTACCAAATACAGCACACTAATTCAAGATATTAATAATAGTGGAAACTGTCCACAGGAGACATGAGTATCTGGCAACACTCTGTACTAGCTGCTCAAGTTTTCTGTGAATCTGGTGATTTCAAATGAAAACAACACATATTTACTATCTTACCGTTTCTGTGAGCCAGGAGTCTGGGAGCAGTATAGCTGGGTGTTCTGCTCAGGGTCACCCACAACTGCAGTCAGTGTGCTGGCTGGACTGTGGTCTTATTGGAAGCTGTGGGTCCTCTCCCAGACTTACATGGGTGTTGGCAAAATTCCCTTGCCCTGTAGAAATGAAGCAAGTTTGCTTCAAGGCCAGAAAAAGAGTTTGTCTCTGCTAGTTCTAGTGTCTGACCTGATTGGGTCCAGTCTGGCAGGCATGAACTCCCTTTTAACTTACCTGAAGCTGACTGGTAAACCTTCATTATATCTTCAAAATCCCTTCCCTTTTGTCTAATGGATTAACATAATGGTAGAGGGGATAATGTACTGCCTTTGCCATATTCTAATAGTTAGAAGCAAATGAGGCTATATGAAGCAATTATTGAGAAAGCATAAAAGGAGGGGAAGCTGGTAAAATATTTTTTGGTCTTGGTGGTCATTACATAGGCACTGTCTTTTTATGGTAATGGGCTCTGATTCTTCCACTTTTCTGAATTTTGTTACATTTCAAAAATGGTAAAAATGCATTCTCTGATTTTGCTTATTTTGAACTTTTTACTTCTAATTTTAATTTTATTTTATGATTTTCAATTTAACACATGAAACTCACTCATATTTATAGCCATGTGATGTTTCATTATATACATGGTGCAATTTTGAAAACAGGTTAAACATATCTATCTCCTCAAACATCCATCACTTATTTATGGTAAATCATTCAAAATCCTTCCTCTGGCCTTTTCCAAATATGTGATGCATGATTATCCATGGTCATCCTACTGTGTAACAGGACAAAAGAGCTTACATTACCTAGCTAACTGTAGCTTAGTACCCACTGATCAAGCTTTTCCCACCTTTTATCTTGCCTACTCTCTCCAGCCTCTGGTAACCAACATTCTACTCTCAACATCTGTGAGATCATTGTTTCTAGGTTCCACATATGAGTGAAATCATGTTGTACTTTGCTTTCTTGCATGACTTTTTTCACTTAACACAATGATGTCCAATTCTATCCATGTTTGTGTATAAATATCACATTTCCTTTATCCATTCATCTGTTGATGGACATATAGGCTGCTTCCAAGATTTACCTGTCATGAATTGTGCTGCTACAAACATGCGAATGCATGGATTACTGTAATATGATGTCTTTAACTCTTTGGGCAAGATAGCTAGAAGGAAAATACCTGAATCAAATGGAATTTCTATTTTTAGTTTTTTGAGGAACCTCCATACTAATTTCCATAATGGTTGTACTAGTTTACATTCTCACCTACAGTGTAGAAAGACTCCTTTCTTCCTGCAGCCTCTCATCATTTATTTGATTTCTTGATGATGGCTATTCTTTTTGGGGTAAGATGGAATCTCAGTGTTGTTTTAATTTGCATTTCTCTAATAGCCATGATGTTGAGCATTTCCTCATGTATTTATTGGCCATTTGTACTTCTTCTGAGAAGTATCTATTCATTTCACTTGTCCAATTTTGGACTGAGTCTTTTATTTTGAGGCGGTCTAATGTTTTTAATTCTTTTTATATTCTGGATATTAGTATTCTGTCTGAGGTATAGCTAGCAAAAATGTTTCCAGTTCTATATATTTCCGTTCAATCTGTTGTTTCTTTTTAAAACATTTTCATAAATTCCTTTATTAACCTCTCTCAAGTTTTTTTTTCCCTTAGGAAGACTTTATTTCTCTTATTCTTAAAAATTAACTGGATTAAAATTTTAGTTTGGTAGATATGTTCCCACCTCACCTTGAAGATTTTCCACTATTATTCTGCTGTTAACCTGGACCTAATCTAAGTTGTGTTGCAGAGCCTACTGCTAGTCAATTTGCCATTCTTTTCTTGGTGTAATCTCTCTATCTTTTATCTGTGAGTGCTTCAAACATATCCTTTTTAGTTGATGTTAAACTGTTTCATAATAGCATGACTGGATATTGATTTTTCTCTTAGGTATGCTTTGTGGATGCATAACTGTACTGAATATTACAGAATTATATGTTTCATCAAGTCTGGAAAATGCAGTTCTTCTTTTCTGTTCCCTGTCTTTACTCTTAATGAGACTTCAGTTACAAAATATGTACTTTCTCATTCCGGCCTCAATGTCCCAAACTTTCTCATATTATCAATCTGCTGCTCTGTGGTGTACTGAGGACAATTTCTTTTGAATCACACTATAATTCTCTCTTCCATTGCATTTAATCTGCTGTTTTTAACCCATCCTATGGGTTTCAACTATAGTACATTTTTGTTGCTAATTGTTCTCTTCAATTCTTTTTCATATTTGTTGGCCATTTTTGCATTGTGTCATTGATTACTAATTTTACTATGTCCACATTTGTTTCTTTAAATGTTTTATAGTGAATTTACTTATAAAGATGAAGCCCTTGGATGTTTATCACGATAGAACTTAATTTTTCAGAACACTGAGGAACTAAATTGCTTTCTTGCACAGAGAACTGGCGTCCCCTTTTGCAGAAGACAAGGAGGACTTCGAAACCTCAGGCAGGGTAGCTATCTTCACTGGTGTAGAATCACTGTACTTACCTAATGTCTACCTCCTGCATCTTGGAGGGGTAGGAGAAAGAAGGGAAATCTCAGTTCCAAAAATATACTTGGCTTTTGCTCACATAGCAAATCTGACTTTCATGCTGGCTTACAGCTGAGCTTCTGAGGTTCAGTTCACTGATTTGTTTTATGAGTCTCCTTGTGAATCTTTAGAGGCTTTCATGAAGCACAGTAGTGTTTTAAAAGTTACCTTGTTATACTTTATCTATGGTGTGGCTTTATTAGGTGAATCCTTAATATCTACACAATCATATTAACAAAAGTAGAATTCGTTCTAGAATTTGGGGTGCTCTGAATTTTATATCTTTATAACAACTCATAAATAAGCTATTTTTCCTTGGTAGATTTCAGGCTTTATTTATTTATTTTCACTAATATACATATATACAGAGAGACTTAATATTAAACTCATAGACACAAGGCTGTGTAGATGAGTCACAAAATTCGGTCATCCTGAACACCACAGATATGTGCCCAGAATTGTATTTAGATATTTTACTTTGTTAATTGTGTTATATTTATGAATATAACAACCACTATTAAAGTACAGTGGTGCATTGGTTCATGAACTTAATTCCACAATTCTGGAACCAAATGGATGAGAATTGAATCAAATTCAATGGTTAGGTTCAATGTTGACCTTATGTGGAAACTTGATTCGGTTTTCATCCAATTTAGTTTGTGACCAGAATTATGAAAAGAATTAAGTTTGTGAACGAAGGTAGAACTGTATATATTTCCTCTTTCTTTACTTATTTTGACTGGCTTTTCTATTCTCATGTGTAAATGTGCAGCTATACTAAATGGTAGCTTTATATAAATAATAATGCTTTTAAGACACTATTCGATCCAAAACTAGATGTTCATGAAAGGCACAATCACAAGGATATACCAGACATAAATATAAATAACTGAGATATACGGAAAACTCTGGACAAGTGCTATTTTAGTAGTATATAAAAATCAGATGTCAGTTTGAGGCAGAAAGAAATTCATCATGACTGATAGACAATGATAAAATGTGTTCTTATATGTTTTGTTCATCTTTGAAAACTTTGAGAATATGTTTTACTGGTTTTTAATGAAATAGATTCTCCTTTCTTCAAACAAAATTCTTATTTAGAGTCCTTTTAGACTTGTTTTATGCAAAATTCTTTCAATAGGTGTTATATTTATTTTTATTTTAAAAATCAGTAAATTATTAGTGCTTAAATATAAGCCTTGAACCAATTCCACACATTATGAACTTTCTCTTTCAAAAAAGGAATATGGGGCCGGGGATTTAGCTCAGTGGTTCTGCCACCTGCCTCACAAGCGCAAGGCCCCGAGTTCGATTCCTGATACCAAAAAAGAAAAAAAAAAGAAGAAGTAATACGAAGTCCATAATACAACATATTCATAGAGCATTGATACATTTGTAACAGAACTTCTTTGAGATTAACAGGCTTTTACTTTTAAGTTCCTTAGACTATAGCATTATTACAGATGACATCGCATGAAGACTGGAACAGAAATTGGATCCAGCTCTTGTTAGTGGAAGTTCCACAATGAGGCTTTCTTTTGAAAACTACAGAATTGTCAGAGTAGAATAGACTTCAAAGTTGAGAAACCTCTTTCCTTCATAGCTCCCAAATCATAAACACTCTGTATCTCAAATACTCTCTTTTCTGATTTAATTCTCATAGTCTATGTTCACTATCAATTTATGTGCACCCTGTCGGAAAAAAAAATCAAAAGAGAGTATTGTTATAAGCAATTCTGAATTGTGTATCATTTGGATTTTAAATCTGATTATCTTTTATCAACAAAGGTTTTTACTTGTCAATATCTATAAGGAATTTCTATAAGAAATCCTGGAATGTCTTCACTTTGGTGGCTGTATAGCTCATACATTCTTAACTACATCATTGAAAATATACTGAATCTCCCAAAATAGATTGGGACTATATAGCAAGAAAGGAGACTGTTGAGAAGGAAGGTCCTGAGTTGCACAGAACATGCCGAATCAGCCCACTGCAGACAGGCAGGTCTGTGCACGCCCTACCAAGGTCCTGAGTCATGCAGAAGACAATGGATCACCCCGCTGCAGACAGGCAGCCACCTGATTCCACACTACAAAGATGGAGAGGACACCAGACCACCAGACCAAGGTACTGAGTCCCACTGCTCCTGGTCCACAGGAAGGGGCTTCCCGGTCACCATCCCTTCCACTGCTCCCAGCCCAGAGGAAAGGGATTTTGGGCCACCTTCTGTCCCACTGCTCCTGGCCCAGAGGAAGGGGCTTCCGGGACACCATCCCTCCCACCGCTCCCGGCCCAGAGGGAGGGGCTTCTGAGCCACCATCCCACTGCTCCTGGTCCACAGGAAGGGGTTTCCTGGCCACCATC